GTTGTAATCAGACAGCAAAACTAAGCTGTGACCAGTAATTTGATGGTATGGTAAAATGTTTTGGTGATAGAGGAGAGTTGGGGCCTGCAATCAATCACTCCATAAACAGAGGCAAGTCTGGAAACTGATCAGGACTTTTTGCAGATTGTCAGAGATTTAACCAAAGACAAGAAAGAATTCTTTACTCATTTGGTGTGATTAACTGCAGGCTCATGTATTGTCTGCTGCAAAGAATATCTGTGACTGTGAAAGATCATTGCTGGTGAGGCGCACACAAAATGTCAGCTGCTGCTTTTAGGGAATTGAGCAAGATGTATTGCCTGGTGATAATTAACTATCCATCAATAAATGATAAGTGCTCCAGGAAATCAACACAAGAAAGAAGTTGTTCAAAGGAGAAAAGCAAGTTATTAGAAGGAGAAAACGTACTGGAATGTCTACAGGAAATAGATAGCACATCAAAAAGCTCAGATCTGATACACATGAAGGTGGTGGAGGGTTGGTAGGAAGACGTCAGAATTGCAAGCATCTGGCTGGAGGCTGCAAAATGAAAAAGTGATGAAAAGAAAACTTCCAAAATAGGCCAGGTTCATTGCACTACTCTAATGAAACTTGACACAGAATCTGTCCCTGTTGCACCAGGCTGACTGTCAGCAGAAATTTAAAGATAACATCTGCCAGCAGAGACAAAAAACCCCAACATTTCAGTTTTCCAGATAGACCAATCAGCTCCAGTAGTCTGAACCTCAAACCCTGTCAGACGCTTGTGGGGCTTCTCCAGCTAGGCAGGAGCATTTACTAGCAGATGCCCTCCCAGTCTTCTGACAACACTGAACCTCCACTAGCCATGGAGGAACTCAGTGTTTTAGTGGATTTCCTGTGTCCAGACACATAAGGCTTACTCCATGACCTTTGTTCTCTTTGTGAATGTGCTCACACAAGGTTGAAATAGCCTTCAGTGTCTTCTTTTCTTCTACATTGTTCCTTCTGTGCCTTTGGTGAGCATCTTTCAGCACTAAACAATTACATCAAGTTATATTAACTGACAGGATGGTAAGAAAGGTGAATGAACCTCCATGTTTAATGTAACATAAAGCTGTGGGGAGGAAAGTGCCCATAATGATTAATCTGTCTTGGGTTTACTTGGGTTATGTGGGCTACATGGGTTTAGATTGCAGGAACTGAGTTTTAGGCCCTCAGTTCCACAATGGCAAAGCTCTTTGCAGGTGGAGATGAATTTCCCAAATGTGACAGCAAAGACATGAGAGAAGGAGACAGTGCCTAAAGTGTTGTGTTTGAATAAAACTTCTTCTGCCAAAAAAAGGAAAGTTCAGGTGCAGGATTTCTAAGTTTTGCAGTTATTTCCAGACCCTGTTTATGCTGCAGTCATTAGAGGTAAGAGGAAGCCAGGAGGAAGTCATTATAAGTACAGGAATCACGATCCTGATGTTTGTTAATGATATTTTTCTAGCTATGGTGAGGATTAAAGAATGGCTGAAAACAGAGACATGGTCTGCCTGGGCATAGAAATTGGAGCTGCTTGTCCACGTCACAAAGCTCCTTCTCTTTTCTGTCCAGCTAACCAGTGTTTTCCAGCTCCCCCTTGTGCCATGATGATCACATAAGGGACATGTGGGAACCTGAATTATTGATGGAAACAAAGACCTTAAAGAGAAATTAGATAAATCTTTGGAAAGTCAGGGTTTAATAATCCTGCTGCCTGTGGAATGGCTCATTTTTCAAGCACTTAGATTTTTGAAGACAATACCTAGTTGGAGGTTTTGAGATGAGTCTGGGCTACCTGGGAGTAGCAAAGGTGGAAACCAGCTCTCTATTATACTGTTACAAAGACAAAGCAGGACAACAAACAGCAGAGACTGCAAACACAGAATGAGGGAAGAAGGGGGAAAGAGGAATCTATGTGATGGTGATTTATTAACATTGCAACCCATCAGCAGAACCAGAGTTCTGATAATAGGATGTGTGTTATTTCTGGACCAGCCATGCAGATTTTATTGTTGGAAATCACCGTGTTTCCTGGCTTTGGTGCAATTCTGAACTCAAGTGTCGAAAGCCTAAGGAGGGCTAGTACTTAAGAAAAAGCCCTTAAAGCAAGGGTTTCCTGTGAGTGACAGCCTAGGGCTTCCCCAGGGCTGGACTGAATTAAATCTTCCCACCCCTCTTGCTCAGAAGCTGTCTTGGTGGTTGAACAGCTGGAGTTGCATTTGCAGACCTCTCTCCTGATGGCCTTGTTGGTGTTTGCAGCAAGCTGGCAGCACAGCTGTCCTGAGGGCACCCGGCCTAGGGTCTACCACCAGTCCCAGGGGGGAATTTTGCTGCCCTCAAGCCTTGCTCCTTGGCAGGTTATTTTTTTGGAGTGGACTAAGGCTAACAGTATTGCCAAACCTCATTCCTGCCTTTCGTCATACCCTCTGCCTGTGCAAGGCAGTCTCATCCACTGCTCATTGCATGGCTGCCTGGCTGCTTGAGCTCTCTGGGAATTTCCAAGGCAAAACCCCACCCTGGCTACTGTCAACCAAAGTTTAAAGACAGCAGATCTCAGTATAGAGATGGCCATCATCTCCTGTGTATGTCATGGTAAATACACGGTCTTCTGAAGGGTTTATTTGTTACCACGTTTTAACCATGCTAGGTGAAGGCATTGTGAAGTTATTTTCTATTCCCTGTAAAAAGTGCCAGCTTATTTCATCTTACAAATGTCGATGAGAGATCAGCCTGAATTAAGTTTGTTTTAGCTGTTAAATCACATTTTTCAATTGTTTAAATAGTTCAGACAGAATTTGCACAGTAACATTTTAGCTTTTTATAGCTGTCAAGAAGTAACACAAATAATTACCACCTTCCCTGGTGGGTTTTATCTGATTAAAGTGACATGTCTGCTTATGCAAGATATTTGAATAGAGACATTCAATAAAGTCAGTAATGTTTAATTTCCCCTCTCCTCCTATTTTTTTTTTCTTTTTTAAGTTACATTTCATATTTATATAAAAATCTTGTTTTAAGGTTTGGGATATTTTTCTTAATAGGCTTTACATTATGGAGCAATTTGGCAGCAAATTTTATGTGCTTGTAATGAAATATTTCCTCACACTACAGCAAGGTGCTAATGTATCTTGCTCATGCTAAGGAGTACAACATCTGTCTGAAATAACTGCTGTGGAAATACCTCTGGAGTAAGGAGTGAGCCAAGGTGGAAGCCAGAATTTTCCCCAGGTTGCAACTGGGAACTGATTGAAGGAAGGAGAAATTAATTGGAAGCTGCCAGTGGTGTCAAGGGCTTGGTGAACTTGCATAGAAAAAGTCTTTTGTAGCATGTTTTGCTGATACAAAATTCCCTAGGACTATATATCCTTGAATACAACTTTCCACTCTTTCATCCATTACCTGGCTTCATATACAGAAACATTTCTTGCAAAAGGCTCAGTGCCTGGGTCAGCTTTCAATGTTGGGTTCATTGGCACATAGGCACTAAAACTGAGACGTGTAGATTCCAGTCACAGTTTAAAGTCTTTTAGGCAGTGAATTTTCAGGTTTTGTGGTGTAGAATTTGCACCACACTCCTGCGTGAAACAGCAATTCAAACATCTCTCCTAATTAGTCTCTGAGGCATGTGTTTAAGTGGCCAGATCAGGTTGCCATGGTGGTATTTTTGACTACAAAATATCTCTCATGTTATGAACACCAGGAAGGAAAGATGAGGTTTTTAGAGTTCCAAGCAATATACAATAGCTGTGAGACCCATACTTTCTGTTAGTCCTAGCTGGTGTTTGTATGCATGCTTTAGCAAGCACTGGCTGGTATATCTTGTCTTAGACAACAAGGCAGATGGTAGACTTGATGCTTGCCCCAGGGAGCCTTGAGTCTCAAATTCCCTTACAGAGGGCAGCTTTGGCAAGGTGAGACAGAAAAAGCCCGTCTGCAGGGCTGCAGGAGCCAAGGCCACCCCTCTCTGTGCAATGGGGAGATGCCCACAGGGCTGGTGCTGCTGGTGTCTGGGGTCCCTGGAGCCCCCTCTCCCATGGCAGGGGCCTGAGGGCCATTTCATGTGTCCCTCTTCTTTAAGCTGATGTAAAATACTGCCTAGCTCTCATTTTTCTAGCCTGCTATTAAAATACCCACCAGCTCCCCAGCTCCTTTTGTGCATCAGTTCCTCTTTTTTTATGGTTTAGGTTTAGATGTGACATTTCCCTTGGTTTTGTGAGACTGCTGAAGGTATTTTGCTCTATTTTAGAGCTGTCAGTGGGCTGCATTTAGATTTCTGTGCAGATTACATGAGACGAGTGAGGTTGAATGGTTTATAGCTCCTTTCCTCCCTAGTGCTGCCCTGTGCTCTGAGTCCTATAAGCCAACACATTGACATTTTGCCCATAAAAATGATGCTATGAAATGCAGCTTCTTATATTACTTATATTACTCTATAGTTACTAATGTTCATTGATTTCTACTAAAAATCCTTCACAAGTACTAAAAAACTATATGGAATGACACAAACATCCAGAGCAAAAATGGAAAATAGCATTTATTTTTATTAACACTGGATTTCCTTGAATCTGATCACTGAGGCCAGCTTAAGCTGTTTCAGAATATATCTAAAAAAGGACCACTCAAAGGGGGTTTAGGTATGATTCAATCCTACTTTAAGAACACTCTTCCCTGTCAGCATAATATGAAGTAGTCTTGGCTTCAATGAGAACCTTCCCCTACTCTTGCAGAGACTCTGGACACTGAGGACAGGGCAAACATAGATTTATTTACCATGGATTTTAACTCTCTACATCAAAATGCTCCTCATTAGCCTGCCCTAATAATTCTGCCCAACTGAAGAGAGATTCCAAGAGGGCTTCAGTGCAGCACTATAATAAGCAACTGCAGAATTGTTTATCATTCCTGATGGCAAAGATTAAAAAACTCACCATTTATTTCAAATAGATAAGTATGACACCTTAACAATTCTGTCTTTTCCTTACTGCAGACATTTCCATTTCAAGGCCTGACAATATTAAGGAAGAGATTTATTGGAGTGCATCACACAGCCTGAATCCTTTGGAGTCAAGGTATTTATAACGATGTAAAAGTGACAGTGTCAACAGTGATTTAAATCATTTAGTCTCTATGATAAACACTATGTTGCCCTAAAATTTAAGGGATGCACTGAGAACGTAAGTCACTCAGAATAAAAACCAAAGTCAGTGGCAAATGATTTGGGTTTGCCAAACCCATCGTGACACAAAATGAAAGACTGAATGAGAGAGGCTAACAATGAAGTCATAATATCTACGAGATACATATATCCTCATGATACTTCATAAGCCCATGAGATAAAGACAGATGTCCTGTGTGAATGCAGTACCTACCTTTATACCTGAAGAAGTCAGCACTGAATTTATCAGCAAAAAGCTAGAGTAGAACAATATAAAGTACAGACAAGATGTTTGATGCTTGCCTAACAGCAACTGCTCAGATCATCATTTTGCATAATGAAAGTTTGATGTAGATCAGCTCTTGATCAATGTGTTAGATGTACCCTGGGATATATTAAAAAGCAAGATATGGAGATGGAGAAAAAAAGAAAAATCAGACTTCCACCCTCAACTTCTGTATTTTTATCAAAGTAGAGAGAAATGCAAGGGAATGAGGGAAAGCTGGAGCTGTCACTCAAGATGGCTGAAAGAGAATAAGAGAATTGATTTAAGAGTGAACAGGGAAATTAGCAATGATGCAAAAAAATTTTAAAAGGAAATGTTGTGGTCTCAGGAACCATGGAGACAGATCTAAACTCAGAAGTCTTCTTTAGAGGCTTAAAGAGAGGAGTCACTGGGAAAACAAGCAGTTAGGTCTCCAATTTGGCAAACAAGGTACAAGCAGGTTCTTCTGTCCATCAGGAGCTGGGAGAGCACGGGAAGAACAGGGAAGTGAAGAAGTATCCTCAGCAGCTTGAGAGACCTATTGGCCAAGCTATGCCATAATCAGTCTGTCCCGTATTTTTTTCTATTCCCTTGGACTTAATTCCTCAAATTTCCTTCCCTCCTTTCTAGCTAAGCTTGTCACTGTCAACACCATCTAAACAAATCATGGTGCTCCTCAGGGTGCATGTCATCTACTCAAAACACACACTACCAAAATTGTTCAGTGTAAAAAGCCCTCACCAAGAAAATTCTGGTTTCTAAGTTGTAATCTTTAAAATGTGTTGATGCTCATTTCTGTTCACTTTTCAAAGAGGGTCAGAAGAAAAAATACTTCATGAACTAACAAGCTATGGGAAATTTTGTTACTATGAGGTTTGTCAGAAAATTTCTTTTCACTTATATGATCCTTCCAAGTTCTTCAAGCTTGAAGTGCCTTTCTTTTCAGCAAATTAGGAATTAAACTGAGTTCACCTTGGAAAGTTAATTTTCCATAAATTTTGTATGCAGCTGCATAAAGTCTGATGGAACATGCCCATCAGCAATTTTTGTTTTCCAGCCAGTCCATGGTGGTTCAGAAAAAAAAAACCAACAAACAAAAACCAACCAACCAACCAAAAAAAACAAACCCCACCAAGAGAATAAAACCACTACAAGAGTGATAAAAAAGTTATTTAGAAATGTACTTTTAACATGGAGCTGGATGTTGTAAGATTCAGAATAAGTAGCCATTTTTCCTCAGCCTTTTAGATTCAAACACACACTTCAAAAAAATTGAAAACTGTTGGTTGAATTTGGCACGAAGTCAGTGTGGACAGGAGCAATATAAGAGCAACAAATGGCTGTAGGAAAGCTATCCTCAGTGCATTTTCATTATCCTTGAGTAGATATATGAGTGCTTGTGTAAGCCTGCAGTGCATTTCCTCTGTCTAAAGCATGTTTCCTCAGAGTCTGGCTGCAGGAGCCTCATCCTGCCCTGCAGGGATCACTGAGTCAGGGGCAGAGGACAGACTGAGAAGCTGTGTGGGTGAGCATGAGTCAGCTCCAGTGGCTAAACAAAGTAACTTTCTTCATCTCCCCCAAAATATATAAAATCACAATCCATCTCTAGGTTGTAGCACATTGGTGTGGTTGAATTGTTTGGAAAACACAGCAGCAAATGGCTTTGCTCATGAGGACTGCACTCAGAACACTGCAGAGGAGTCTTTTTGGTTTTGTATGGCCATAAACAGGAAATAGGAGCTCAGCTTTCATGGTGTAGTCCAGAAAATACTTACCCTGTGATAAATAAATAAATATATCTATGTATTTATATAAAATATATAACTCCATGGAAGTGAGGTTTAAGGACCCTTCTAACCCTTAACATTCTATACAGGCTTCAACAGAGAAGAAAAATTCCCTTTAATAAGACTTTCTGCCACAGTGAATAACATAAATATGATGTAGACATGTTTGCAAACCAAAAATCCCAGCTTTTGACAAATTTCTTTAACTATTATGAAACTATTTTAGTTATTAAAAAATTATTCACTGCCTTGAGCAACATTTGGTAGAAAAATATGTAAGAAGTTTTGTGTTTGTTTTTAAAAAGCATTTAATTGTTATATTTCAGTGTATCTCAGATGAAATGCTATGATTTTCCTCTTTAAAAATATTGGTTCAAATGTCTAATGGAAGGTTTGCGAGGCACAGAATGAAAATTCAGCAGTCAGAAAAAGCTCTGGAGACAGAAGTGGAGGACAAAACTGGGCCTAAGTCTTGAGCTTTGTCTGCTGCTCTGTTTGTGCCCATCACTGGTATCCAAGAAGAGCAACCAAGAAACACTAAGAAGAAAAAACTGTGATGGGAAGCACCATCAGTTCCCAATGCTTTTGTCCTCCCGTCAGTGGGCTATAAGACTTCTGAGTGGTCAGTGTCCTGCTGTAGCCTGGAAATCCTCAGTTACTTATGGATCTGATAGAAGAGATTCACGTGCTGATACAGTTTGCAGCACCTCTATCCTGCTCCTGTTCACACCATGACATGAGAAACAGGTTTTTTCATGCTCCTTTATGTGTGTCACTCTTTACAATTGTCTTACAGCTGAGAGCAGAGCCTGTGATCCTGTAGGTAAATGGGGTCCTCTGAATTACTTCTAGCTCCTGCTTTCACGTAGGAAACACAAAAAACCCCTTTCCTTTCCAAGATATTGTATGCCATGGAAAACATGTGCAGAGAGGAGTAAAAATTTTAAATAAGAAAACTAAAGATTTTCTATTACCCAGTGAGAAATGACAGACTCTCATTTACATCCTGTATGATGTTGCTATCTGAGTTTCTGTGTGTTTGGAGCAAAGACAGCTGCATTTTGCATCTGTAATTCCCTAGCAGGCTGCTTTAACTTCTTTTTGCTTTTGCATTACTTCCTTAAGACACTTCCTGCTTTTTCCTTCTGGCAGCACATTTGTTGATGCTTCAGAGCCCAGAGATTGGACCTCTGGCTTTGGCTGATGGCACTGGTTTGAGTGGGCAGCAGTGGAACAGCCTGAGCCTGCTTTGCAGAGGTGGCTGTATGGGGCTGCTCACCAGCTAGGGTCAGCAGCCAGGGCATGCACAGGCTACTGAGACAAACCTGCCTTTGCACTTCTTCCTGGCCAGTGTAAACCTGTTTATTTGAATTGACTCTTGAATGGCAGGCAGTCAAAACACATTCAATCATTTTGCACTATGGGACCACCCTTTCTCTTTCTCCTTTGTGATTTTGAAAGGGAACTTCACAGCTGAAATTAGACTCTGAAAGAAATTCTCAGGCCACCAAGGGTTGCAGTGGGAATTGGATGCTTATGGGGTCTCAAATGGAGATCTCTGAGCTCTGTACCTCTCTCTAAATACTATCTCTGTTTAAAAATCTGACTCATGCAGCTTTATTTTTCAGGGCAGATGGAGAAGGACAGAAAAGAGATTACTTTTAGACCTAGCTTATCCTGAGGTGATAGCTCTCTGAAATGCCAGCACTATTGATGTATTGACATAATTAAAGACGTCTGCTGAAATGTCACCGCCGCTGCCCAGCGATCTGATGGACGGCTCCGGCTGGGGGATGTTCTTAAACAGCACAGACAAATTGCTGGGATGCTCATGTCCCCCTGCTTCACAAGTGATGGAAATCTACTGAAGGCAAGGAGGGCTAGTGAGTCCTACACAAATGATTACTCTCGGTCTCTAATTGTCCTAACTGTCTTTAATATGGAGTGATTTCGCATGAACTTTCCCCACAACTCCCAATTTTTGGCACGTTCTACTGCCTGCACTTGTTTTTTTGGCCCTGATTAAGCAATACACATGGATTCCTTCCAGCAAATGGCTGACAAAGGACACTCTTGTCCTTGTCTCTTTGTTTCAATTTGGATTTTATTTATTTACTGAAGGTACAGAAACTGGCTCACTGACACTTAAAAAATCTCTCACTCCTCAAAGATGATAATGGGATTTCTTCCTCAACTTGAATTACACCTTGCATTACTGTTCTGCCATTGGAAGGCTGACAGAAACTGGCCCAACATTTCTAATAAGAATGTCCAACCAAATACCAGAAAGTACACAAAGCTCAATATTCATTTTGGGAAAAGTAGGTCATGAATCTCTCCTCTGGACATGCTGCAGATCTATCTTAAAAGGTAAAAATGGTAGGGAAAATAATGGACAAGAAAGAGCCCTTAGCTCTTACCCTGGCAAGAAATGTTCCAGGAAATTAAAATCTTATAACTGCTGCTGCTTGTCAAAGACTTCATGAAAAAGAAATGGAAGACAGTCACCAAAAGAAACTTGAGATGAGTAGTGGAAGCCCCTTCTTATTTTCTTTTTCCTTTCCTCTTCAAGGGAATTGCTTTCACCAAGCAGTGCAAAATATTAGGGCACATGCAGACAGCATTCTCCTGGAATTTGTGACAAACTGCTGCTGAGCAGTGTTAGATTCCACTATTATGTGCAAGAACTAGTTTTGGTGATAGTTTCTAATATTGCAGGCCAGTATTGCAAAAAAAATTGAGGCATTTCAACTGTCAGTGTCATTAAATATTACACTTTCTTGTATTACTGTTATTTGTTGAGGCTGCCCCATTTTTTTTCCTAAGCTTTTATTTTTTAGAAATGTAACCTCTTGCCCAGAC